CTCCATGGAGCTTACTAGATTGTACAGAAATTCTGATTCTAAAGCTTTGCAAGATTTATTTGATTTTATTCTGTTATCTCTACCACAGAGACTCAAAAAAAAAAAAAAGTGAACCAAGCATTCTAGGAAGTTAGCAATACAAGAGAAGAGTTGGTGCAAAAAGAATTTCTAGTTAGTGATTATTTAGATTGAAATTCATTTAACCTCCTTCTGCAGGTAATTCAATTATCTGTGGTTTTAATAAATTTCAGTATACATGATTCTAGCCTTTCAGGTAGGACAACATAAAACAAACTCGGCAGGCTCCTGTTCTCTGGTGCGTTTCTAGCTTCATGGACAAAAATTCTTAAATAGTAGGCAAAATGGTGAGAAGTAAAGTACAAGTATAAAATGAGGCTATTTCAAATGGTAGAGCAGCTCTCCCACATTTCTGCCTCTTCTGTCTCCCCCTCCCCCCTCAAAAAAAAAAGTAATAATGGAAGGCAGTATAAAGTAAGGCCTTTCTGAGTTGACCCAATGAGTGAATAGAAACTGCATGGGGAGAATGTAGATACTGTTGTATTTATCTCCTCTATGAAGGATAAGGTTGCATTTTGTTCTATGGAAGAATTTATTAGCAGCAATAATTTCCTTTTGGTATTTATTGAAATTTGAATAATAAATGTTAGTTGAATTCACTCATTTACTGGTCCTACTTTTGTGGATCTTGCAGTTTTGGTGTTAAGTAAAATTTGAACAAGTAATTACATATGTAATAAATATTATTTAAGTTACCACCCATCTGTCAGTTTGTTGTTCTGTGGTGACTTACATGTTACTATGATGCTGGAAACTGTGCCACCAGTCTTTCAAATACCAGCAGGGTCATCCATGGTGGACAGGTTTCAGCGGAGCTTGCAGAATAAGACAGACTGGGAAGAAAGGCCGGGTGATGTATTTCTGAAAAAGCCAATGGAAACCCTATGGATCAGAATATTGTCTGATATAGTTGTGGAGGATGAGTCCTCTAGGTTGGAAGGCAACAATGGACTCAGGCATGCCGGCAGCATTTCATTCTGTTGTACATGGGGTTGCTGTGAATCAGAGCAGACTTGACAGCAACTAAGAACAACAACGAAGTATTCCAAGAGTGGGGAGACTAGATTGGCTGGGGAAAAACAGGTGGCACGCAAGGTTTGTTAAGGAGCACAGCAATAGACCATAATAGCATTTGTTCATTCATTCCCTCAAGAGTCAGTAAGAATTACTGAAGAAAAGTGACTCCATGGCCAAACTTAGAGTGGCCCTTGAAGCCACGATACGGTCCCCACTGAGCTCTACAAATACTGAACTGGCTTCCTAGCTAGGTCTAAAACTACCTATGGATGCAGTGATGGTTCTGAACGGGGATTATTTTCCTAAATCATATTTCACTGATAACGTAATAATAGCTAACACTTATTGACTATTTTCTATGTGCGGGGTACAACACTTTACATGTATATTCTATACTCCTCAGATTAACCCTAAAGGTAGGTAAAATTAGTATCCCCATTTAATTGACGAGGGCTTTGTGGCTCAGAGACATAAGAAACTTTCTTTAAGATCACAGGTCTTGTAAAGTGGTGGATTCAAGATGTCATGGAACCTACCAGGAGCTGAGCTTTTGAAAAATGAAGGCCAGGGACAGGAAATGAATCTACATACTTAGCCGAACAGATTAAGAATGTGAAATAACTCACTCCCAGTTTTCACAGTGTTTCAGAGATTAAGTAAATACTCTTCAGAGGAATCCAATCCAAGCGTGCAATTCTTTGCATTCAGCACACATACTTGCTAAGGAAAAAGACACCGTTCATTGCAGAGAATGCTCCTACTTTATAGCATCCCTACTTCTGGTAATGACCTTTCCTGGTTTCTCTCCAAGGACTACATTAGAGCAAACTGCCTTTCCCCTCAAGCAACAACTGCCTACTTACCAACTGTAACAGGAAAAGAGAAAACGGGCACAGCTGGTCTCAGGGCCCACTTTGCGATTCTGCCACACGATGCAGAGGAAACCGGCCTTCACAAGGGCCACCAGTTTATATCTTTCCTCCCTCCTCCTCCCGTTCTTCACCATCTTCATCACTGATATCATTTATTAAGTGCTTACTATGTGTTAAGCATTCTCCTAAGTTTTAATACATAAAACCTTATATATGTAAGGTTTGGACTGGATTCCTCTGAAACACTGAAAACTGGGAGTGAGTGATTTCACATTCTCAATGTGTTTGGCTAAGTATGTAGATTCATTTCCTGCCCCTGTAAATATTTATACACATTTTATCTTATATATACTTTAAATATATATATATACATATACATATATTCTATTTTTAAGTCTCACAACAATCTTATGAGTTAGCTACTAAGAATCCATTTTTTTGGATGATAAAGAAGGCTAAGGGAGATTGTTTAACTGCCTCAAAGTCCCACAGTAAGGAGCAGAGTCTGGATTAAAACATACATTTATTTAGCTCCAGAAGATGTGCTCTGAACTGCAATGCTATACTATTTGCCTTAAAGAATTTATAATGGAGTATAGACAAGGAGGAGTCCCTAGATGGTGTAAAAGATTAATGTGCTTGGCTGCTAACCAAAAGGTCGGAGGTTCGAGTTCACACAAACATGCCTTGGAAGAAAGGCCTGGGGCCTACTGCCAAAAAATCAGCTAATGAAAACCCTACAGAGTACAGTTTTACTTTGATACACATGGGGTCGCCATGAGTTGGAATTGACTCGATGGCAACTGGCTATAGACAAGGAACAGATGTGTGGATAAGCCTGTATTTACATAAAGTAATATGGTTAAGCTTTACTCGTTGCCATGGAGTTGATTCTAACTCATAGTGACCCTATGGGTCAGAGTAGAACTGCCCCATAGGTTAAGCTTTAGAGGTTCTTAATCTGGGGCCCACGGAGCCCTGAGCATCCACAGATAGATCTCGGGGGTGGGGAGGGTTGGAACCTCCTAAAACAGGGATTAGCAAACTTTTTCTTAAAGGACTGGACAGTAACTGTGTTAGGCTTTACAGGCCATATAGTCTCTGTTGCAAATATTCACCTCCAGTGTTTAGTGCAAATGCAGCCACAGACAATACTCAAACCAAGGAGCAAGGCTGTGTTCCAATAAAACTTTATAGAAACAGGCAACTGTCCAGCAGGCTCTAAAATGGTATTCAAATTCTGTGTGCACATACGCACAGTTGATTTTGTTGTTGTTGTTAGGAGAGGATTCATAGCTTTCCACAGCTTCTCAAATAGGTTAAAAATGCAAGATGGTTAATAATGACTGGCCCAACTTGTCTCCATGCCCCTCTAAACTTGGGCATTCCAGGATTCTATAATTCTACTGTGAATTAACACTTTCCTTAGCAGGCTCATGCATTAGATTCTGCTAGGAAGCCTTAAGTGAACCTTAATTACTCTCTTGAGAAGGAAATGTAGGATACATCATCATTTCAACCTTCCCTGGCTTACCTGGTCAGATGATACTGGATAAAACACAAAGACATTCCATACTGGAATTTAGCAGCTCAGTCCTGCACCAGCTAAACTAACACTTCCTGAGTTTCTTTCCTCTTGCCAGGAATTACTTTCTATGCTCCACTGAGTCTTCTCCACAGAAAAGGATTTACATGTCCTAACCACACTAATATGCAGTTTAGACCCCAACATGTAGTTTGCCCAGGTGTGTTGCTGAGGGGTGGAGTTGTGCATGCATTTACCTGGTACATCTCTGCAACTGGTAAGTACCTTCTCTCCCCCAAGGAAACATGATTCTTTCTCTTAGAAGTTCCCAGCTTTGTGAATTAGAGCATCTTATGTCCTGCAACTACACCAACATGTACCTTTACCCTGCCTCCCACTCTAAGGTCCTGTCTTCCCAACTAGAATTTTTCAGGGCAGATGGCTAATTATATTCTGTTGTGTCCACCACAGAGCCTGGTACCATGCTTTGCACATGCTTTGGACAGGAAGTGAAGAAACTAAAGAAGTAATCATTTAGGTTATTAGCCCTGAGATCCCTGAAAGCTACAGCCAGTTTTAAATTCTTGCACCACTTTTGAAAAATCAAAATAATGGGTGTCCAATCAACTTGAATAAAAAACTGGATCAACTACTTTGAACTTTAGAAAAAAAAAAAAAGATCTATTACAACAAGGAAGTACAAATACTATCAATCATAATGTGATTGCATTTATATTCCAGGTGTTTGAGAATACAGAATTGGGCTTAGGAGAACAGGCAGGAGAAAACAATAGAAGGGGAAGAAGAAATGGCAGTAAGCAGAAAAGGAGAGGAGAATGGAACAAGGGGGACAAAGAGGAATACAGAAGGAAAACATGAGTACAGAGTTAGTCTATGTGCTAACTAGCTCCTGTGGGGTTGAAATTCGGTATCATTAGGATGCAGCTATTTCTCACAGCAAGTGCCCCCCAAAGAAGGAAATAAACCAGCAAATGAAAATAATGAGAGTATAAATCATTTAACCGGTACTTAGTCCACATTAGACTCCTAGATACGTGGATTAGTGTGAGCTCTCTGAAATGAAACATCAATAGCAGGACCACATGGTACTGACTAGCCCCAACTAATATTTCAGTTCAGCTTTAATTATCACTTTCATCTGGCAGCAGCATGGTACCATGTAAACAGAAATGGGTCATAGGAGGCATGGCTTCTTGTCCTGACATACCATTATATGACCTTGGTTCATCAAGCTCTGTGCCCCAGTTTCCACATTGTCAACTGCAGATAAGAATTCCCTGCTCTGCTTATCTCATAGAAGGATGAAAAGTAGAAATATATATATATATATATATATATATATTCATGCTCGGATGAGTATAAAATACCAGATAAATGTAAAAATTGACCTTGTTCTCTTCACTTAACAAGGTAGTGGGTAGGCGTGGGGTGGGGATGATGGCATTTTGCACAGAAGGCTTGGTGACTCAATGAAGTGTCTTTTTTCCCTCCCTCCGTAATATCTGGTCTAAGATTATTACTGCTTTCTCAGTGATTTTAGACATACTTTTCCCCTTCAGAAATGCCAAAGGTGAAAAATACTATTCCACTGCTGTAATTTGTCACCCTTGCTGCCTGAGCAAGACGTGCATAGACAGTTTAGTAATTAAGCTTTTCAACACTGCATCATAAAGTTTTATTCCAGCAAAGGCTATATTTATCAGCTAACAAGTATTAAATCACCCCACTGCTCAAGCCATTTCTCACTTGAATATGCTCCTTTCAAAACAGAGCAGCTTTCCTTGGCTGGCTTGATTAATAAAAGTCCTCGTTTGGAAATATTGTGATGATGTGTGGTCCTATGGGGCTGATAAACATACACCTTAGCAACTGTTCCAAAGGGTGTTGACCTCTCTGTCCCAGGGGAGTTTGATACCTTAGCCCTGAGGTCTTTTAGGGCATCTTGGCCATGGAGTTTCTTAGCCCTTTGGGATGGCTTCCAGCCTCATATATTCACGTATCTGTTTCATTTCTAAAGGGGAAGAAGTAAATGAAAATAAAGAACACAAACATTTGATTCATTTAGTTTTCTTGTTTGAGCATCAGGGAATTGGCCTGTTTCTATTAGGGATGGATTCTAAATGTAAAATGCGTTTTCAAAATGATTAAAATAGCAAAATGACAATAATCTACATATTACATATTCTCATATTGCCATAGCCCTCTCAAACCAGATGCACAATTTTAGGGAAACATACTTAGAATGAATAAATATTAAAAGTTGTCAGTAATGGCTTAGAAGAATACTTTCTTTAAGTACACCTCTCCACTTTTATAAATCTGTCTTCTCACCTTTGAAGGATACAAATTCATGAAAGGAGTATAACACTGTTCAGGACCTTTCAGTCAAATGACTCCAGAATTATATTAGTTAAAAAAAATTAGTTACTACACGTGAATAACTTTTCTACCATATTTTAAACGGAAAGCAAAAAGCCAAATGTTAAATATTTGCCAAAATGAAGGAACAAATCTCATTATTTATCTTTTCATAAAGACTGGATTAATTTCCTTTTTCCTTTCCTTGCTTTCAAAATAAGTGACATTACCTTCATTTAGGCATTTTCATTTTCCACCAATTGATTGCTAACCGGACACATAAAATTCCGTGCCGCAGAATCACAAACCCTACTCTGTCAATCATAAGCAGTTCTGACGGTGCTTGTGTAGGTATATATGGGATAGTGAGCATCTAAGTGTGAATCTTTAAATACTACCAAGATAGTAAGTCTTTTGTTGAACTCTTCTTAGTTTGAGAGACTGAAACAAATTCTTTCCTTTCAAAATTATAAGACAGAACTCACCATTTTGCTATTCAAATTAGCAACAGGTAGCTTGTTTGAAGGCTGGGGATCAATTCTCTCCAGCCAGCAAGTCACGCGGTCAAGTCACTGAAGCTTGTGGGTGACATGCTCAACCACTACGCTGGCACATATTGAACTACTTACAGTGCATCTATTTTCTGGTTTGGTACATTTTTTGCTGTGTTAAATTCATTAAATTTGACATAGTCTTTCTGTCTAAATGTCACAGGATATACTAGAAAGCACATTAAGAAAACTGCATCAGCAGTTGGAAAAAGAGAAAGGTAAAGAAAGATAGATTTTCTATTTAATTTTTATCTTTCATATTAAGACTAGAATTTTTTTAAGGTTAAAAAATACTGTGTGACTTGGAAAATCAAGTTGAATCTGGTTATTTTCTGAACATCTGAAGACGTTTCACTGTCAGTCAAGTTGCCCTCCAAACTGCAATCCTAGAGATGATGACATATTTGACCTACAATTCAGGATCATTTAATAACTTGGGAGAGAAATGAGAAACTAAAATTACACTCTGCTATCCACAGTTTGCAGGAATCTTGTAGTTTAGTAATTTGCAAAAATATTGATTCAAGGACACATCTGAAGGTCTAAAAATGAGGTCTTGATAATGATTATCCTTTATTTGGAGTTGAAATTTTCAACAGGATAACAAAGGCTTTGGAACATGAACTATTACTTTGATATGATATAATTTTCTGGAGGATCATTTGTTATTCTTAAATACTACTTTTCCTCCAACAAGGTGTAGTCGTGGCAGTTTAGAAAGGTAGCAAAAATTGTGAGGTACAAGGAATTTTCATTCTAGCATGGGTTGTAACTATCAATATTATAAAATTGATTTTATACTCCATATGAAAACTGACAAGTGGAGAACAATTTTCCAGTAATTTTTCTTGACACAAAAGAAAACAAAATAATCGATAACAGAAAATTGTTAAAACAAACCCCCAAATTACATGTAGAGAATAAGGATACCAATACTAAATATGATTCTTGAAAGCTTCCAAAACACATCTGGCAGAAGTTACGCAGCCGTCAAAGTTGGAACGAGTAAACCCATCCCCTCCACACACAAGGAAAGGTTTGACATGAAGAGTCATTTGGCCAGGACAGTTGGCAGCAGCATTTGTAACCTGAAAAAGTAAAAAAAAAAAAAGGGATTGCAGTTGACATTTCATGACCCATCCTGGTGTCATGGCAATGCCCACCTAGGGGAAGGTTTCTCTACCTGGAGAAATTAAGGTTTCTCACAATGAGGGAAGGAAAACAAAACTAAGACCTCTAATCTTGTCCATTACCCCAAGTGTTTACATTTACATTTAAAAATGTTTACATTTTCAGTTATTCAATATACTAAATTGAATTCAGTTATTCAAAGCACACTTAATCAAAAGTGTGCTGAATTTCAAAGTATGTAGGTCATGATATGCTAAATTAGTTGGAAGTATGGGGTTTTTGTTTTTAATATGGGGGAAATGACATTCATGAAATCATTCACCAAACAATTATTGAGTATCTGCTATATACCAACAAGGTGGATACAAAAGAGACTAAGACGTAGGCTGTGTCCTAAAGGAGTTTACAGTTCAGCATGGATGGCTGGCACATAATGGGGCGGGGCGGGGGCGGGGTTAAGGGCTAAGATAGCATAAAGGAGAACACATGGAAGAGAACCCAACCAAGCCCACTGGGACACAAAATACTTCAAAGGGAACATTACTGGGAATTTCATTTGAGTTTCTGAGGGATGCATAAGAGTTTGTCAGTCAAGGAAACCGGCAGGTGAAGGTGATTCCAAAAAGAGGAAGCAGCATGTGGCTCTGGGCAAGAGAGGGCAAAGTGTGCTTACGAAACTCTGGGGCAAGTGAAAGTGCGTGTGTGCTGTTGGGTGGGGGGCTGGCTAGGAGAAGGGGAGGTGGCAACATAGGAGGGATATAATTTTTCAAAATAAAAGATATATAAAACTCATACATTAAAAAATGTCTACTAAAGACATAGAATTTACTACTTACAAACTAAAACCATGGTGGTGCAGTGGTTAAGAGCTTGGCTACTAACCGAAAGACCAGCAGTTCAAATCCACCAGCTGCTCCTTGGAAACTATGTGGAAGTTCTGCCTTGTACTATAGGGTCGCTATGAGTTGGAATCAACTTGACAGCAACAGGTTTGATTTGGTTTGGTTTTTATGAACTAAATGGAAGAGAATCAGCCAAAGTCTGGGGTTTATTTATTTTGTAGCATCTAGTTCATAACATTAAAAATGAGGAAAATTTCCTGGAAAAATTATGCTCAAAATTAGGATGAATTATATTAACAAGCATTCACAGTGAGGAGAATGAGTGAGAGATAAATGTAGTTTTCTTGGACACTGAGATGGTTTGGCCACTGAAGCACCAAAATACCCCCCCAAAAACCCCATGCACGCACACACACAAACTTATTGCAAAGACAATCTCACTTGGGACAGCTTCACCACACAACTTTAGGGGGTGCCATTTGTATAGACTATAACATGGTAGATTTGGTTTCTCTTATACAGCATTTCATGGAGAGTAATAAGGTCCATAAGAATTTGCTTACTTAAAAATAAATTAAAAATGTAATAATTGCTATTTGGATTATGGTGCTGAAATTTTGGTCCTAGACAGGCTACATTAGTATAAGCCTTTATAAATTTTTCAAACCAGAAAAACTTTATATTTTTATTTATATGTTATATTTTGCTCTTTAAAAAAAGAGGTGATATTATTTTTTCCTTGTTGACTTCTAAAGATATAGCCCTTTAGAGACCTGTGTCACTCAGACACCGGCATAAAATGTTAAGAGTATTCTTTCATTTTTCTGAAAGTCACTTTATAAAAACATTGTCTATTGTAAACACAGCAGATAATCTTGAAATTGGCAGAAAATATTTTTGAGTGGCTAAAATAGCACATAGTGGAGACACTGAAGCACAGACTTGGACGTTCAATCAGGGCTTTTTAATTTCTACTTTTGATAGAATTTTAACAAGTTGGATTACTTGATTTATCAGTGAGAAATTAAAGGAGAAAGAAAACTGCTTCTTGTTAGCTGCTGTTGAGTTGGCTCCAACTCATGGCGACCTTATGTTCTGTTATACGTAAGAACATAAGTGTTGACCGGTCCTGCTCATGATTGTTGGTGAGTTTGAATCCACTGTGGCTATTGTGTCAATCCATTTCATTGAGGGTTTTCCTCATTTTCACTGACCGTCTACTTTACCAACCACGACGTCTTTTTCTAGCAATTGGTCTTTCCTGATATGTCCAAAGTAAGTGAGTTGAAGTCTCTACATCTTCGTTTCAAAGGAACAGCCTGGTTGTATTTCTTCTAAGACGATTTGCTCATTCTTCTGGCAGTCTGCAGGATATTCAATATTCTTCACCAACACCACTGTTCGAATACATCGATTCTTCTTCTGTCTTCCTTTTTCACTATCCAACTTTCACATGCATATGAGGTAATTGAGAAGACCATGGCTTGAGTCTTGTGCACTTTAGTCATCAAAGTGACATCCTTTCAAAACTTTAAAGAGATATTTTGTAGCAGATCTGCCCAATGCAATACATTATTTGACTTCTTGACTGCTGCTTCAATGGATGCTGACTGTTGATCCAAGTAGAATGAAATCGTTGACAACTATGATTTTTTTCTTCATTTATTATGACTTTATTATCAGTCTAGTTGTGAGGATTTTCATTTTCTTCACGTTCAGGTGTAATCCATACTGATGAAGAAAACTGCTGGATTCTTAAATATTAGCGATTTCAGAATGTGACAACTGATAGTCTGAAAACACAAGATGTTACATAAGAACTCAAAACACATACAGGACTGGGAACAAGTCTGCCAGTCTGGGGCCATTCAGCAGAGGGGCAAATAACCTCTGGTGCTTAATAGGCCCTGAGGCCATCAGTTATTTTGGTTGTCCTGTGATTATTAATGCTCATGATGATGACACCAGTTTTCAAAAACCAATTCTAACACGAATGAAGTTTTAAATGCTCGTGTTTTTTGAATGTTTATTGCAGCTCCCATTTAATTCATACAGCAACCTTAGTAAGTGGTTACTATTATTCTCATTTTAGAGATGAGAAATTCGAGACTCAGATGTTACTTGGCCAAGGACAGAAAGCTAGTAGGGGAAGCAGGGACTCAAAAGCTGCAGCATGACTCCAGAGCTGACACACACTTTGCAGAAACCTTGTCATAAAGACTCTATTTAAGTAAAACAAAGCAAAAATGTTTGAGAGTCACTTAGTTTTAGGCATCTGGAAAACTCACATACATGGGACAGCTCATTCATATATATTCATATATATGTGTGTGTCTATCTTTAATATATATACATATGTGTATAATTTATAAATGCACACACACACACGCACATCTCTGTTTGTGGTAAAATTCTGATACATTCCAGTTGCTGTCCCTGTATAGATAAACTGTGGCATTATTAAACATTATATAACATTAAGCAGAAGGGAGCGTAAGGGAAAATGTTCTGCCCAGGGGTGAGCTGATAATTTATTGGTGCTGTGTAATTTAATTTGATGAGTGGTAAATGCCAGATGCCAAATCACACGGCTGGAAAACTGGGCCGCTGATTAGCCAGTCGGCAGTTTGGATGAAATCAATCTTGCTGCATTTAGGCGGAATCACCCACTTTGCAATTACCCAATGAGGAAAATATGGAAACATAGAGTGTGTGTTGGCAAGCTCCTTCACCCATGTGAAGTAAAGAGCCCAGCAGTGGAGGAGCACATAATTGTCAAAGCCACAATCTCTCACAATAACGCAGCCTTTGGCTACGCTGCCAGCCACAGTGAGGAACCGCAACTCAATGACTGTGTTTAAGAGACATGTCAGGGCTGAACAAGCCCTTGGAAATCCAGGTTGCTACAGCTCAGATGTGTGCCAGGGGTAGTCTGAAAGAAGTCTTGCCTGCAGAAGCTGATCGTCTGGGAGTCACTAATGTAATGTTTCTATAAACTTAATTGATGGCTGGAGGTACAAATTCAGAACAGAACATTTAAACTCACATGAATGTGTTTTGTGACTTCTCTGCACCTGCAGAATAAAAGGCAAACTCCTCAGCCCTGCACTGAAGGTCCTTCATAATCAAGGCCTCACCTCCAGTCAAGCCTCATCTCCTGCCACTTCTCTCACCTTTACCACATGTCCTGTTTACATCCAAACTAAGGTTCTTCAAGCATACCTTTCTTGGTTGTGCATCTGTGTATCTGATTGTGTACCTTTCCCTTTCTTTTTTGCCCTGCTCTTCCTTCAAGACCCAGCACAAATGTCACCTCCTCTGAGGTCTTCTTGCTCTGCCAGGCAGGGTAAGTGCCTCTTCAGCATATTACGTACACCTATTACGTTACTTGCTATCTCGCACTCTAATTATTTGCATGCCTGCCCCCTTTCCTAGACTGCATGCTCCTGAGAGTAGGGACTGTGATTCACCAGTCTTTGTATGCAAGGCCTGTATTAAGTGCACAATAAATGTTTACTGAGTTAAAACAACTACGGAGTCTTGTATACACAGTTGATCAAGTGAAGTTCTTCACAGAGAACTATCTACACAAAAAGTGTTATTCAGAGGCTCCCAGATAGAGCTGGACAGAAGCTCAAATGAAACGGCTGTTTAGAAGGCCCTCAGTAACCCTGACTGCGCTTTAGATGAACATGTCTGGTATGACATGCATTAAGTTGAACCGTACAAACTTGTGAATTCTGTAGGTCAGCAATGGTAAAATATTGACAATTTTTACATGGCTCAACCTAATAGTTTCTTTATATCATGATCATTAGTTGCAGAAATTCACACACAAAAAGTTCCTTTTGTGTGAGGATGAAATTAAAGATGACAAGAAAGAGGGAGGAAGAGAAATAGGCTGATGAACATTCCCACAAAATGATAGTTTTTAATTAGAAGAAAAAAAAATCAGTAACAAGCATGATGTAATGTGAATTCTCCTTCCAGAAGCACACATACCTATACTGAGAGCTCAAGCTTATCCTTGGACTGTCAGATGTCTACCCCTACAGAACAATTCCATTGCTGTGGCTTGTAAAGTAGCTATGTTTTAGGCTGACCGGTTCTAGTTG